TTATTCAAAAAAGTTTCATGAATTAAAAATTGTTCTTTATTTGTAAAAGATTTGTGAATTCAGGAAATGTTTTCGAATTCCAAAAGATTCGTGAATTCATTTTTTTTAGATTCGTGAACAGAGGGCTTTTGCTGGGGAGTTTACTTCCGTACGGCGGTACGCCACCCTGTGTTCGAGGCCAATTTCGTGAACGTGGGCCATTACCGAAATTCAAAATGTAAAGTCTGTTGCATGTATTGCTAAAGGCCTAAAGGAATCTATTTCATGCACTCCAAATTCCTTGAGTCTTCTCAAAAGGGAAAAAAACAAAGGAATGGGATTGAAGCCGCCTGCCAGAACCAAACAAGCTGCTCTGCTTGCATTCAACTTTGCGCACATTTGGTGCAAGAACTGAGCAGTTTTACTTGGAATAATACCATCGGAAAGCTAAAGCCTAGCATATGATCTAACATAGGAGTGTAGTGTAGATACGGAGTAGCTCCTCCTCGTGGCACAGCGCGCTCGTGCTCCGTGAAGTTCTTCCCTGGGAGACACGACGCCTGCAAATGCAGGAGTACCGGTGAACAAACGACAACACGCACCCCACACGGCCGCAGATACAAAATGTCAACTCTTTTTAAAATCGAGCCGGCCAGCCAGAGCACGACTCACGAGCCAGCTGTTGGTTAACCCAAGAGAAATGTGAACCTCCTTGCGACGCATATGGTCAACTCAAACCAAATATTTTTACTCCTTCCGTCCGGAAATACTTGTCATCAAAATGAATAAAATGGGATGTATGTAGACATATCTTAGTTCTAGATACATCCCCTTTTATCTATTTTGATGACAAGTATTTTCGGACGGAGGGAGTATAAAAAAAGAAAAAAAAATGGAGAGACACACAAACACAAGACATCCTCTTATCTTGTGGCGTTAATGGCGGCTACGTGCCATGCACGTACACCTACCCGTACCCGGTAACATGCGCCCCAAACGAGAGACTTGCAACCAGGGGAGCATCGTGACGGCCACGCAGTGCGCACGACTAGCTACCTGCCTAGCCCAAACATAGACTATTAATAGTATTGCTCGCTAATCAAACGGAGAGACGGAAAACGTTTTGACATCAAGCTATATATATGAAAAGATCAAACAGCTATGAAACTATTTTGTAATGAATATGGTCTGGTTTCATAATCACGTGTAAAGTTTCACCAAAAATGACTTTTATGGTCTTCTGCGGGAAGAAAATAAAATCGGTTTTGTGAAAAGGTTACTGTTCAAGTTTTTTGAGTTGCAATTTGTTTTTCCGGCAAGAAGAACACCAAAGCCAAGAAACTTCATATGTGAGCAGAACACCCGAACATGTTTGTCACAAGCAAGTTTCAGTACTGTTTTATTTCCATACACATTTTAATAAAATTGAAATGCTATATAGAGTGCGCCTGGAACCATGTCCCAAGAATCCACACCGCAAGCTCTACCGACCTGAGAGTAACTCGGATGGTTAGAGTATTTCCAACGCCGACCCTCAAAATGAACACACTATCTGTCTGTGAACTTGTCCGCAGACATGGATACAAGAGTCGGACATCCAACCATGCACCCTAAATGTCCAACCCTATTTTTTTCTTTAAGTCTACAAAACTCAAAATAATTATAAGAAGTAGCACAATTCATCCAAAAATAACTTGCAAATATCCCTAGTACAATAATAGTTCAAATGTAAATATATATCCGAGATAACCAGATGTTCAACAAATTTCTCGAATTCACCGATTTCAAATTCAACGATACTCGAGTCAAAATCCGCACAACTCCTTCCACTCACTGCAACAAAAAGCAAAAGTTACGATCTCCATGGTTAACGAGCTCAGTGGCCACATTGTCTTCACTCATGCAACCGCACCACAAATGTTCATGAGGGAGTTGGAGATGGTGTTGCACCGATCATTTCTCATGTGTAAGTCATTGTATGTGAAGTGCTTTTGCTCATGAAACGAAGCCCGCATGTTTTGCCAAACACATCAACCCCCCTTGCCTCATGCCTACAAAGTCTGCAGATACAAGCTTCCATGCATTGTATATCAACTCATCCTCCGTCACCGAGTACCCCACCATCATACTTACTCTAGTAAATAACAAGAAGTTCAACAAAAAAAAGTTGTGTGTGGTATACGCCATGGATGGCGTCAGCAGGGGCGGAGGGTACTCGGTGACGAGGAGAGTGTGGATGCAGAGCAAGGGAAGAGCATGAGCAGAGTGGAAGAAAAGTGACCGGGATGGGGATTTGAGTATGCCCGGGGTGTCAGATTCCTACATGGTGGTTGTCCGGACTCCTGCAAAGCTCCCTCGGTTTGTGTCCAGTCTGCGGGGACTCGAACAAGCATCAACTCCGCTGACAAATAGGGGTCCGCTTTGGTTGACAAACTACATCCGAGCAGCTTGGTCCAGATGCATGCAGGCGTTTTGAGGGTCCACGTTGGACATGCCCTTAGGTTTTTTGTAGTGAAACCAGCCCACCAAAATTCAAGTCCTAGACTTACTGGTGCTCACATTTTTCTGGATTTATTCAGTCTTTCGGCAATATTCGTTCAGTGGGAGGAGGCGTTTCCGTTGATACGAAGCGCCTCCGGTAACTTCATCAGTCTCAAATGTTGCGTCAGCTTACAATCATGGAGATGCTCATAGAGTTAGGATATACGTGTGTGCGTTCATAAAGAATGAGTGTATGTGCATGTATTTGAGCATTTTCCTTTGTTATGTGCTAAAAGAAAAACTTTGCATTTCTTTAAGAAATACTACTCCCTCCATTCCATAATAAACGTCTTATACTCCCTCCGTTCCTAAATACTTGTCTTTCTAGACATTTCAAATGACTACTATATACGGATGTATGTAGACATATTTTAGAGTGTAGATTCACTCATTTTGCTTCGTATGTAGTCACTTGTTGAAATGCCTGGAAAGACAAGTATTTAGGAACGGAGGGAGTACATTATAAGACGGAGGGAGTACATGATACTGGGGATGAGCTAAACGGCCAGCTGATTCAATTCTCGAGAAGAAAATCTAATTAATTCATCACAAGATTACTTCGTTTCTTCTTCAAATGTGTCTCTTCTATAAGAAAAAAAAAATAGACCTACCGTGTCCTTGACCTCCGCACCGTCCATCCATGATCCATGATCACGCCACGGCTTGGGAGAAAACCTGCTTGCGTCGTGCAAGGGTTGAAGGGAGCTTTGGCCACTCTGCACGCAAAGTTGACACTACTACAGCTAGACGCAAATAAATGTACATTTTCATCTTCCATCGCATAGATCACGCCGCATTAGCGACCTGCCCCTACTGCTACTATACTACTACCACCGCCCTAACTGGATTAAAATTATACTATCGTGAACGCTTAGCTATAGCTTAGCCGTACGTGCACCATCATTTGTAATGCGACCAACTAATCCCAAGCACCCTCTTCTGTTGCACGGCCCGTTAGGCCATGGTAATCTTACTGTCCTCCAATCATTTGTGACACATGTGATGTGGTTGTGGTGCATTCTGTCTTCTAGAAAGAAAGAAAAATCTAGAGAGCCCACACCGAAATCGTGCCTTGCAGCGGGACCGGCCGCAAACATCAAAGAGGGGCCTAGAAGATGGAAGGAGAAAGAAGGGGAAGTGGGACGAACGACGGTGCGAGGTGGAGGAGGACGACGATGAAGTGAAGCGAGTGGAAGGGAAGACTTCACCTTTTACCCCTAAGTTCCACGTTTGTGACAACAGTTACCTTATTTAGTAGATTTTTCACATTTTTAGCACAGGTTTGCTTAAAATGGGGTAAAATGTGGCATAAATTTGCTTTAATGGAGTGAAATGCGAAAAATCTGCTAAATGAGACATTGATGTCACAAATGTAAAACTCAGGGATACAAAGTGCAATTAACTCGACGTGGAAAATTGATTTCCACTGCAATGCCAAATAGAGCCTCGGTGTCTAAAATGCCCATTTGTAGTTTTGTAGGTTTGCAAGGTATTTTCGTTCACTTTTCTCAATCAATGGATTGTCTGTGATATTTCCGTGTCATTTAAACATGCATTGTATGGCATAATGCTTAAAATGTGTAACTAGAAAGCATGCTAAGCCAGCTTGGAGTGGAAATTCCTGTGTCATTTTCCCCTCTTCTTTTATATGTCCAATATACAGAATATTATACTACATCACAAAGATTAGCAATGATCCAGCCCACCAATACCATGGTTGACTATCCCTTAATTTCATACACGCAAACATAATCCTGCCCCGATTTCTTTAGACAGACACTTCCTTCCCACGACCAATAAAATAAGGGAAACAAATCCCTAATCCCTCCCTATGGCATGACCACTTTCCATGACCAAGGAAAACATACCATCCATTGCCCACATTGCCGCTTCTCCCCTCTGTGATCTGCCATTGTCGAGAGAGAGAAAAGGGAGACCTGCCAGAGCAGAGAGAAAGCTGATAGAGGGAACACTTAGAGAGAACACAAGAGCTTTTCTTCCTCCAATGCATATGGCAAGGACAAGCAGATCATTGGCTTAGGGATCAAATCAGCGGCACAAAAGGTACTAATTTGCTTCCCCTTCCCATTTGATTCCTTTGATTTGCATCCAGCAGCCAAGAAGAATGTGTGGTGGAATTACGAAAAGCCGTGCTTGTTTTCTTCCCATGCATCTAAAGAAGATTCAAAAGCAAAAGCATTTCATGCCTACTTTCTTGCGATCTGCATGGCATGCTCATCAGAAGTAGCCATCGTCTAAAAAGCAGCAAATCAAGATGTAAAAAACAAGAATGAATCGCTCAAATTTCGGGAAATGCGCTTAAATTTTGTGTTAACGCACAGGAGTTCAAATCTTGTCCTGTGCTCCCATTTCGATGGATTTGTCGCGCCATTCGCGAGAATTCACCGGGACCCTTTCCTTATAAAGCAGGTGTAGTACACGAAGGAAGGAAGGAAGGAAGCCAAGAACCAACCGCTGCCATGGCGGATAGCAGCAACAGCCCGTCGACCTCGGTGTCCGACGAGAGCTCCGAGGCGGAGGCGCAGTGCTGCTCGTCGTCGTCCACGGCGCCGAGCCTGCACGACACGGTGGACTTCAGCCGCACCGCCTCGGACGTGTCCACCTTCTCGGACCGCAGCGTTGACCACAGCGGGCCCTTCGGGACGGCCGCCGTGTCCAAGCTCATCGGCGGCCGCGGCTCCCCCGCCGCCGCGCTCAGCCGGCTCAGCATGAAGCCCCGCGCCGACGTGCTCGACCGCCGCTCCGCCGAGGACGAGCTGGACCTGGTCAAGGAGCGGTTCTCCAAGCTGCTGCTGGGCGAGGACATGTCCGGCGGCGGCAAGGGCGTCTGCACCGCCGTCGCCATCTCCAACGCCATCACCAACCTCTACGCCACGGTCTTCGGGAACTGCCACAAGCTGGAGCCGCTGCCGGCGGGGAAGAAGGCCATGTGGAGGAGGGAGATGGACTGCCTCCTCGCCGTCTGCGACTACATCGTCGAGTTCTACCCCTCCACGCAGCCGCTCTCCGACGGCACCCGCGTCGAGGTCATGGCCACCAGGCCAAGATCCGACATCTACATCAACCTCCCCGCCCTCGAGAAGCTCGACGCCATGCTCATCGTAAGTAGTAGATGATCTTTCTTCCGACGACGAGGTGATGATCTTTCTTTGTTCTGAATTCTGACCAGTGCCAACGAAATGTGTCGTTGACATGCGCAGGAGATCATGGACAGCTTCCAGAAGGCGGAGTTCTGGTACGCGGACGCCGGGACGAGGTCGTTCGGGTCGGTGACCTCGTCGTCCTCGCCGTCGTCGTCGTTCCGGCGGTCTACGACGACGGCCCACCGGAACGAGGACAAGTGGTGGGTGCCGGTGCCGTGCGTCCCGGAGGGCGGGCTGTCCGTGAAGGCGCGCAAGGAGCTCCGGCAGAGGCGCGACTGCGCGAACCAGATCCACAAGGCGGCCGTGGCCATCAACAGCGGCGTGCTGAGCGACATGGAGGTGCCGGAGTCGTTCATGGCGCTGCTCCCGAAGAGCGGCAAGGCGAGCGTGGGGGACGCGGTGTACCGCGCCATGCACAGCTCCGACAAGTTCTCGCCGGACTACCTCCTGGACTGCGTGGACGTGTCGTCGGAGCACGAGGCGCTGGCGCTGGCCGACCGGGTGGAGGCGGCCATGTACGTGTGGCGGCGCAAGGCGACGGCGAGCCACGGCGTCGGGAGGTCGGCGCAGTGGAGCCGGGTCAAGGAGCTCGCCGCGGCCGCCGACGACGGCGGCGAGGGCGGCAAGAACGTGGCGCTGGCCGGCAGGGCCGAGAGCCTCCTCCTCTGCATCAAGCACCGCTTCCCCGGCCTCTCCCAGACCACCCTCGACACCAGCAAGATCCAGTTCAACAAGGTAGCCAATCAAATCAACAACAGCATCCCATATCTGCATCATCTGAATTTGACACCAAGATACATTTATCTCAACTTGAATGATCATCAGTTCATCACACACTTGAATCTTGATGAAGATGGAATGCTGTTTTCTGATGGGGTGAGATGGATGTTATTTCTTGTGTAGGATGTTGGGCAGGCGATCCTGGAGAGCTACTCGAGGGTGCTGGAGAGCCTGGCGTTCAACATCGTGTCGTGGACGGACGAGGTTCTTTTTGCCGACAAGGCTGCCAGGAAATGAACAGTGAGCGATGGACCAAACCTGACGGACGGATTCGTCGAGAGAACGAACGAACGAACGCTCTTACATAAGAGCAAAATGTACTTACTTTCGAGCCTTGTTCCCAGCTCTCTGTGATGGGAAACGGCGTAGGTTAGGATGATGATCTCACGGTAACTTTTGTACCGTGAGATTTCTACTACTGACGTAGTCAAGGATTTGCAAGGTTTATATATCTTGCAAAGATAATATGCAGAGTTTGTCTGACCAACAGTGTGTGTCCTGTAAGATATTTTTTGGCTTTTTCATCTGATTTTCAGGTTGTGCCTGACCCACAAAACAGTGTGTGTGTTTTACCCCTTTCTTGCTCATCGATCTTGGTAAAGTTAAGGACCAAGTGCGATGCCTGGTAGCTAGGAATGTCAAAAAACTTGTTATATATCAGAGTTAGGACTGGGACATCCAACTTAACAAGAAATAAATAATCACATTCATTCATGACCGTCTATAAACCTTAGAGAAAGTTGAATTTACTGCGACAATAACATTTGAAAGTTGGTGATCAAATGCACTGCACTTCATACACACACGACGTCTTATATTTTGAGACAGAGGAAGTAGTTGACATCTACTTTTATTAACAGCAAATACAGGTAGAGCGCATGTTTATCCAAGGAAACAAGGAGTTGTCTAACTTAACTTAGAATACACTGATATTTCGGAAAATGAAGACCATGTAGTAGCATTTGATCTGTCATATATTATGGTAACTGTTACACATGTGTGATTCTCGAAAAACTATTACACATGTACTCCCTCCGTTCCTAAATATAAGTCTTTATAGGGATTCCACTATGAATTACATACGGATGTATATAGATGCATTTTAAGTGCGGATTCATTCATTTTGCTCCGTATGTAGCCCATCTAGTGGAATCTCTACAAAGACTTACATTTAGGAACGGAGGGAGTACACACAAACACAAAGAAAAGGAAAAAAACAATATACATGTGTGATCACCTCTGATCACAATGTACAAGAGGAAAATCCGCAAAGCCTTTCAGACTGCTGTGCAATTTAGCTGTCCAAGAGGCATGGCTGTGACAGTTACCCAAACTTCATCTAGTCTAGACAAGCTGCACGGCTGGGAGGTTTGCAGGTCGAAACTTCCGCTGTCATGCATCAGAGAAGTTTCTTCCGCTGCAGTTATACACACTTCGACGAGCAAAACGCCGTCGAAGTTCACACTCTCATTACTTTACTCGAACGGGCCAAACAAAACAGCCCGTGTTATTCTGCCACGTAAAATGGTGTTATTGTCAGCATGAAAACCTCTACAGTTATACCTAGTGTACATACCCCTCACAAAGCACCACCGACAGGGGACCTGATCAGAGCTTCAAATCCACAAATCGAAAACAGCCTCATCGATAAGTTCCTCTAACACAAACTCCCATATCTCCACAACGATACCTTCAGTCTTCGACCGAATGTCCATCCATGTCCGAACTTCGAAATCCTTTTTTATTGTATGATCTAATGTACTTTGAAAACTATGTCGGAGGTAATCGTCAACATATTTGTCAACTTCTGCGACGAGGTCTTCTCCCATTGGAGGTGCCCGTATGTCGTGTTTGAGAAACGACAACCAAGAAGAGAGTCTAAAATATCTCTCCTGGATCTCTGTTAGAGCTTCGCAGATACAGTCAAACAGAATTTTCAGATCGTCTATTTGATCACCTTGATTCGGTAGTTCTTCCAACAGGCAAGGGCTGATTAATTCATCCTCCAGATACCATACCTCTAAATTCTGTTCAGCACATAATTCTGAGAGCTCCAAAACCAACTTTATATAATCTAACCGGACGCTCTTGTCCTCCCAAAAGACCTTTAGATCTGATTCGTTATCTGGGAAGTACAGGGCTCCACGCAATTCTTCATGCAGATCACCTGTATGTCACAAACGGGTTAAGTCATGCAGATCTATTTGAACAGATTATTTTTTTACTGGGAAAATGTAAAAAAAAAAGGTTGCATCTATTTATGTAAATTGGGCTCACTCACATTGTTTAATGTTTTCGCATTCAGGATCTGCAACATCTTCATAGAATGAATCAAGAACAGATATAGGACTGGGCTGTTCTTGTTTGTCATGGCTTAACTCGGGGGAACAATCTGAGATAAATTTGGTTGATGCTCTTGGTTCAGGTGTTCCTGGTTCTTGCTGCTCCAATTCAACAATGCTTTCAGGATAGCTCAACAAGATTTGAACAGGTTCTTTTCCTTGCTCTGCTTCCTCTAACATATCCTATAAATGAAACATGCTGTGTTAACATATGATATCGCAACGAAAACATGAAACAGTGCTGGGAGCTTACTGGCCGCAGGCTATCTCTGCATAGTTCTTCTGGGATGCAGACGATTTCAGAACAGTCTATTTTGCCAATTCCTTCAATAGATATGGCGTCTGCTACATCAGTAACATCTCGTTGTCCTGCACAAGATTCTAGAGTTATTTCTGTTTGAAGATAAAAAAATGTAGCACTCAGTTCACCCTGATGATTCATGCAACTATAGATGGTTACCTTCTTGTGGTTCTTCTTTCATGCTACATTTGTCCTGAGCAACCACCTGATCATCAACTGCTACACTAGTACAATGTGCAGTGCTGCTCCGAGAGTCGTCCCATGATTGACTCCTCTCTTGTGTGGATTCTTCACTGTCAACCATGGGTACAAGGCAAGAGTCTGTCTCTTCAGGTGAGAGATCAGTGCGGCGTTTTCCACTAGGGCTACTCCTAGGAGAAGACACATCGCAGTGAGGGAGCAAAAGCATTCCTTCCAAGGATTTTGAGGACTGGGCTGTTGGATGGTTGCCAGACACATTATTATCCTTTAGCATATCCGTTAAATGCTTCTTAGCCTCCTTGTAGAAGATAGAACCATCTTGTGGAGCTACTATACGCCCACTAATTTCAGTCTCGCTGCCATTTTGTTGCTTTTGCTTGCTGCTGGTTGAAGGTCTGGCGATGTCGTTCTTAAAACTTGATGCAGATTTGTCTGCCAAGCTCCCTTGCGTGTGATGCCCTGAACCCTTCTTAGTTGCAATCATGGAATGCCAACGTGAGACTCTTTGAAGGTCATCTGCAGGTGCTGCATTTCTTTCTCTTCTTGTCTCACCGGTCACAATTCTGAATCTCCTCCTAACTTCTTTGATTGAAAATTTCGAACTTTCCCTCCCACTGTACTCTGGAGTTTGAGAGGTACTAGGTTCCTGATGTAAATATCTTGCACTGCTTGTCACCGTCTGATCAATTCCTTTTCGTGGATTTGGCCTCAGAATAACTATTTTGCTAACAGGCTGAGATCCGTTGATTCCTTCTGGCAGCGTCTGCTTTATTTTTGACTTGTCTTTCCTCCAGAAGAACATATGTTTGCTCTCCTTAGCCTGTGCCGGTGCAGACAAGTCATGATTTGAGCCCCTTGTCTCTTCAACAAAATTAGTTTCTCCAAGATTTTTATTGGGCTCTAACTTGGTTGTCAATCTACTGTTTTGGTGGTTTCTGATATTGTCCAACATATGTGAATTAGGCTTCTGAAGCACCTTCAGGAAAAGTTCCTTGTTTGAACCCAGTATCTCCAGTGCATCCTTGAATTCCTTGGACTGAACTGTCCTGCTGCTAGAAATGCCATTACCACCCAGTAGCTTTTCTCCCTTGCTCTCTTGAGGTTGTTCACAATCAATATTGGATTGAAGATTGCTTAAGTCATTAAGCTTCTTATGGATTAGGGACTTCAGTGAAGGACACAATTCACTGCTACTCTTGCAATCATCATGTGGACATTCATTGTGGCACCTATAAATCTCACCTAAGAAGCTTGCCAAGACAGATTCGAGGTCATATTCACTGTGGTTCAAGCTCTTGGAACCCTCAGAATCCACTGATCCAGATAAACGAGACACGGAGATATCCGTGCTGTCATTTAAAGTTCCTGTTGTGTTATTTGTATGCTCTGAATTTCTATCAAGAGATAGGTCATTTCCCAGATCAGCTAATCTTCTCTGAACCTCGTTGTTTGGAACTGTCCTCAAAAGATTCACACGCCCCAGTTCATCCTCCATAAGTTTTTTGACGGTTGGTTGCTGCAAAGGGCCGTTTTCTATGTTCTGAAAAACAGAGAAAGTAAAATAGAACCGTTTTAGGAAAACCAATGTTTGACGAAAACCAATGTTTCTGTATGGATCCATGATACTTGCAGATTTGAAAAATAATGGTTTCATTCACACACGGTAGTCAATGAAATATGAAAGCGGATTTACTCCTGAGACCTTAATTTTCTTGGTTTCGTTAACTTACATCATCTTTTTCTATTTCCTCAAAATCCCTAGGCCTTTTCCCCAAGTCCCTTCCGTCTGAAAAAGAAATATAGTGTCCATCATCAGAATATTGTGCAATAGCATAACAAGTCAAGAGAAAATCCACGCTGCACATTCAATTGCCGAACTATCTTAAACATTCATCATTTACTAGTTCTAGATTGGGCATCAGATGCAGTGACCGATCTTCTTTAACTCAACCTAAAAGTAGGGCAAGGAATGACAAAACAAACTCATCCAGCCACAGAGGTTGCACTTCTAAACTGTAAGCATAATTATGTGAAACAAGCCAGTGAAAGCAACCGAGCAAGATGATCAACGAACTGACAGTATCAGCATCTCTTATGATTTTCTTATAACACTGCGCAAAATCGTTGTGTGGTTTTCGTATAAAACTAGTAACTTTACTGGATAAGCGACAGCACCTGAAATTCAAAAGCAACTTGAACCATCTGAATTTGGTAGCAGCAATGAGCCTGTGATGAGTAAAAGAGATGATTTTATTTTTACCTGTGATCTCCCGGAGCTTATGTCTCCCGCCGGCCTGCTTCGCGTCCATCAAGAATCTGGGGTCGCGGCGAAAATAGACCATGCGCATTAGGCCCCAGACGCAGCCGACATTGGTATCGTCTTGCGCCGCGGACCGCCTGTTGCTTCGCTTCCCCATTTTGGAACAATCTGTTGTTTCTTGTGTCTTGTACTGTTTCGTACAGTTAATAATCTCTTGGGTCACTGCACGTAGGTAGATCAACACAAGTTAGCAGCCGGATTTTCAATGGGGAAGGAATGATATCTCTCTGAACTCTGAAGACAAGATGAGTAGAACTGGGACTGTTCGGCCGCAAAACAAGGGAGATTGGCAGATATCTGATGAACCCAATAATCGATCAAACTAGTACAGTGAGTAAATCTTAACGAAGCAAATGGAAGTTCCTGTTAAAAAAGCCACTTTGATGAACAAATCCAGCTAATTAGCAGCTGCTCAACAAGAGTATACTATCTGACAAGCTCCTATCTTAGTTGCAAGCATGAGAACTCACCAGACTGTGAATTGGTTAAAACTTAAAACAAGAGGGGAAATGAACCCGAACAACCAAAACGAATCCCCACCAACAGAAAACGCTGCAGATCCCAACCAACGAACACACCCACCCACCCATCCGTCCAAGAGAGATCACGGGGAACCTACCTGACGAATGAATCACAGATCACGACCGGGTGGAAGCCTCAGCAGCCGGCCGCTTTCCCCTTCTCTCTCCGGCCTCTTCTCTCCAGTCTCCTCCCGCATAGAAAGAAAAGAAAGAAAAACAGCCACCTGGAGAATCGATCCTCACAGCGTCGCCCGGGTCTGGGTCGGCCCTGCGCTGTCGCCCATCCTCTGGCTTTGGGCGGGCGGGGAAGAAAGGAATCGGCGGAGGCTGCTTTGCTCTTGTTTTCTTTTCTTTTCTTTTTCCGTGGAGCGGGAATCAGCTCGCCCAACCCAAGCTACCCCTGGTGAGGGTGGTCAGCGTCGGCTCCGTCGCTCTGGTTGCTTCCTTGGTGGAAAGGAAAAGAATGGAGTGGAACGGGACGGTGTGGTGTGGATGGGAGGGAGCGCACCGGGCGGGGGGCGGGGGGCGGGGCTACGGCACGGTAGCAGGCCGCCCACCACATGCCACTTTCGGCGAGTGCGCCAGCATTTTCTCCCTCGGAGAAAAAGCGGAGTGGAGGTAGGCGACGCCCGCAAGCAAGCTGGAGGCGCTCTGATCTGGTAGCTCGCTTCTCTCTCCACTGCACTAGTAGTATTATTTGAGTAGCACTAGTATATGAGGTACTAGTAGAGTATTGGACAGAGTGGTCTTAAAAAAGAGGGGATTGTGCAGGGTGCATTAACCAAGAAGGCGATTTTCGACCTGGAAATTAATCCAAAATATACAAACGGAGTAAACATGTGCTTGCAACCCAACCCAACCCGACCCGACCACACGCGTGAGGGATACCGTCATGGTTATCGGATAACGATGCCGACGGTGATGGTTTGTTACCTATCAGCTGTCTCAGGCCGCCGGCTTTTTATTCCCCGGAAAGAAAAGAGGTGCTGCCCCACTCCAATCCTCACCAGCAGTTGTGTAGTTTATGCACAGACCATTTAAACACTGTTTCTTTGTTTTGCCGGCGCTACTAGCAATCAATCAAACTGCTGGTCAGTCATGTGGTGTGCTTCACTTTAGCCATCTTGTTACAATAATGTGTTTGCAGAATTTCTTTTGGAGCGTACGAGCTACAGGAATTGCCTCCAGAGTACTATCTAGACAAAATTCATTTTGAATAACACCCCATCTGCCCTATAATGTAAGACGTTTTTTGGCATTGATGTGGTGCCAAAAAATGTCTTACATCATGGAAAGGAGGGAGTACCGCTTTGGCATGTTCAAATCTTAAGTTGATGACTTTATATGGTGAGGCAAGATGTATCGGGGTTTAGGGTTGTATGGAACATGTTTGGTTTGATGAGATTCCATGGAATTCTTTAAGGAATGCTTGTTTGGTTTTGTAGGATTGCAAACCGTAGGAAATACTCCTGTGATCATTTTGCATGCAATTTCAGAGAAAATATTTATTAAGGTGAACCTCATGAATTTTTCTATGATAATTATACCATGCACCTGACGATGTATCAAAACTCCTGCATTTTTCTACAATGCAACCAAACGGTTTCTATTATGAATTCTTGTGCTTTCAATTCTTGTAGGTTTTAACTTCTCACGCTATTCCGAACATGCTTTGGGAATCATGAGAACCAACTAGACCCATAAGAGAGAGAATTTAAGAACGCTCTTCAGAGGCGTTTCGACTGGGAAGATGCTTAAGGCTGTACAAACGTTTTGCGTTGTCAATCGGGGAGTTGCGACAATATTATCTCGGCGAGTGGGGCCGCAATATATGGTGACTTCGTTTTGTTGTTGCTCCTTGAGTATCGGTTCTAGAGTTTGGTGAACTCTAGACCTAATTTCGATTAGTTATTTTGTTTTCATGTTGAAGCCGTTGCCTTGAAAACGGATCAAACTTGCTTTACATTGGCAAAATCCATGTTGAAGGTAGGATGTCGCGACGCCGATGTTCAGATGCCTTTCTCTTCCTGGAAGCGTGGCTTTGGAGAACCTTCCGCCAACAAGGGTGATTGATGTTGGGGTTTTGCTATTGTGTCTTGTTGATTGCTTCGGCATACATGTTGAGGTCATGCCATTTTGTTTTTCTTGTTTTTTGTGATTGTTGGTTGTGTGCATCCTCGTTATATCGATAAGCTCTTGATATCGTATTATTGCAAAGACTAGTTATGTTTCACATCAACTTGATCTTAATCTATTGTCCATAATTTACATGTAAATAGAAGAACAACACGCCCAGTTAAGCCCTAGAAAGCTAGCATTACTGGACCATAGCTTGGGAATAGTCCCTTTGTTCACAAATATAAGATGTTCTACCCGCAAAAAATAAAATATAATATAAGATGTCCTAAAAATTAAATCAAATCTATATGAATATGTTTTACTGTGTTTTTTCACTCAATTCAGTTCGCGTGTAGTCCATTTAAAAAATATCCAAAACAATTTATATTTATGAACTACTTTGTTTAAAAAAAATGAACTTAGGGCATGTTCAGGTCAAAGGAAGGGAAAACATAGTATTGGAGATAAATGCTGGAAATGGAGAGGAATGCAGCTGCAAAGCATAGGAAAGAAAACTGAAGCACCTGCATGCAGAGTTGGTGTTCGAGACAGAGGAAAAGTGACCATAGGAAATCAATCGATGTGGGTCCCGTCAGTATATTTTAAATATTAAAAAAGATCAACCACAGTTCAATTCCTGTGCGTGTGGGACTAAATTGTACACAGATCAAATACAGTGTGGGTCCAGTTGCATGCCTTGCCGCAGCTTTTCTCTTCCATTCCTCGGGCATACGCGTAAACAAGCGCTTTGGGTAGATTCTTTTTTTCCTCTGAAAACGCTGGTTCATGGGACTTTCCACCGGATTGGAAAGGACGCGTTCCTTTGTACCGAACGGGGTTTCCTGTGGCGATTCCATAGGAATAAAGTTTCCAGTGGTTTTTCTTCGGTTTTCCTACGTAGCGAACAGGGCCTTATTGGGTATGTCCCAAGGCCAGTTGATCCTATCACACGGGGCAGCTCATCCTCCTTTGCAGAACAGAAATAAAAAACAGCGCTCATTTCCCAAGAACCAATATGCGGTTTGTTATTCAACTGGCACTGGCTAGAGACAGGAGGTAGTGGTTGAGATGGGATCTATCCGGGTGGGCCTGGCAAGCAGTGAACTTTACACCTGCAGTCTGATTCAGAAAAGAGCCAGGCCCAGCTGCCAGTAGGCAGTAGCGGAGGAACGCACAGACCCACTGTTGCAACAGGGAGGGGGTCGTTAGGTCTAGGCCAGGGACTTGACACTTGGTTAGTTTCCTTCCCCTAATGCTACCCCTACCTTGCGTTGCACGACAGCGAGAGTGACCTACCTTGCGTTGCACGACAGCGAGAGTGACCTACCTTGCGTTGCACGACAGCGAGAGCCCTAAACCCACTTGATCAGCGAGAGTGCTGAGTCAGATGGCAACCTTTTGGCCTCGCCTCGCCTCGCCGTGTTCCGTTTGGTTTGCCTTGCCTTGCGCGATGTCATCGTCCGATCCCGAGTGGTGTCTCTTTGAAGACGCCATGTTCGCCATTTGTTCCTCCTGTCCTGAAATGGACATTTTCGTGGATGGAATGGATCTCACGGTTTTCCACTGGAATAACATGGTATTCTCCGGTGGAAGTGCAACCATCAGCTGTAAAATCGTGTGATTCTTTTTTCTTTGGCGGGTGAAAAGGGATTTCTACAAAGGACCACCGTGCGGCCCTCGGTTCTACCAAAGGTAGCTAGATAATAGTACTAACTAGTAGTACCAGATGGTTATCGGTGCCGGAAGGTTGGACTGACTAACGGATGAGGATCTATTCAGAAAAATGCAGCCTCTGTTTTCCACCGATGGCCTCTAAAATTACAGTACCTTTTTGCAACGACTATGTAATAATGCAGGCATGTGCGCCTTGGGAGTTTTTGGGCTTCCATCCATTATGCAAAACGAACGCCGGACGCGTCGACGAAATTTAGTGCGGCATTGGCCTAGGTAGTACTACCACTGTGGGAGTACTGTACTGTCCCCGTGTACGTACAGGTACAGCTGAGCCGCTTGGGATGGGATGGATATTATTCCCGATCTGCACCTACCCAAATCGGGCAACCTATTTCAGCCCTTTATGTCACTGGATGGATCGGACTCAGATCTAGTACTAGAGGTGGCGGAAGTGGAGTGCATACATTTTTTTTTCTTGACATGTTGTTGGGTAGGATCTTAACTGCACCTGTCTCTTCCGGCTGTTTAAATTGGATCTTTGGAACGCAGACGCACATACTGCTCAGTCGTCAAGTCTGGTAGGATCTTGAAACCAAAAAAATCAGAGATTGGTGCATACTGCTCAGTCGTCGAGTTGGGTAGGATCTTCAAACTAACAAAGCGGTACCTAGCGAACCAACCTCTGGTTGAGATGGTTAGGTAGACAGTGGTATTCCCAACCCATCAGGGTTCAAATCCTGGTGCTCGCATTTATTCTGTATTTATTTCAGGAATTCCGGCGATACGCTTTCAGTGGAAGAAGACGTTCCCGTCTGACTACGAGGCGCCTATGGTGACTTTGATAAATCTCAAGATGATATGCCGGCTCAGTCTTTCGGAGGTGCTCATAAGGGTAAGATGTGCGTGTGTGCGTTCATAGAGGTGAGTGTATACGTGTTTATATGAGCGTTTGCGTCTGTACTGTGTTCAAAAAAAAAGGGTACGTGGTTGACAAAGCAAAATGCAGCGCGTAATGTTGGTGTTAAGCCGGGCGTCGGTGGACCCTGCACTGGCTAACACCGAGCTAGAGGGTGGAGTAGTACGACAAGCGCGTTTGCAGTGCACGTAGGCAAAAGTCGCTGTCGATTCGGTAAGCATTTGGCATGATGGTGATGATGATGATGATGGCCGTGTACTACGTGCTAGCTACGTCGCCTCCCGTGATGAACGCACGGTCCAGATGGATATTTTGCCCTCCTGGTATCGATGCAAACAACTACTCGCTCTGTTTCTAAATATAAGTCTTTGTAGAGATTTCATTATATATCATATATGAATGTATGTAGATGCATTTTAGAGTGTAGATTCGCTCATTTTGCTTCATATGTGCTCCCTCCGTCCCTAAATACTTGTCTTTCTAGGCATTTCAACAAATGACTATATACGGAGCAAAATAAATGAATCTACATTCTAAAATATGTCTACATACATTTGTATGTAGTAGTTATTTGAAATGTCTAGAAAGACAAATATTTAGGAACGAAGGGAGTAGTTCATAGTGGAATCTTTTCAAAGACTTATACTACTCCCTCCGTTCCGAATTATTTGTCGCAGATATGGATATATCTAGGTGTATTTTAATTCTAGATACATCCATTTATGTGACGAGTAATTTAAAACGGAGGGAGTAGTATTTAGGAACAAAAGGAGTAACAGTCTATAGCATTTCCTCTTAGAACGCAGGGTGGGCACACGAACTGTGGACTCGTAGCGACCGTTTGTGATGCCAACCGCCAGGTCCGTCCAGCACAAACGTGACAGCCTAGCTATATGAAGGGGCAGTGATAGAGTGCCAGCCATTGTGCAACATTCGCCAGCTTGGTTTTTCGACAAGGTCGTGTTTCTCCTTGAGCTCTTTTATTACGGCAAGGAGCAGTACATCATACGACCGCGGCAAACCAAGCTCTTATTCTTATTATTATCACAAGCCAAGCTACTCCAATGTCCTCCAAAAAAAAAGCAAGAAACCCGATATGGAAAGTATAAGGATTTATCCTACTTTACATTGCTCACTAGTCACCACAAAGGCTACGGTTTCCAGTTCAAAAACATTGATAAACCTCAAAAAAGGCGCATTCGCGGAGAGGCTGCGCAATCTTATGCGCCAGCATCTACAGATGCACACTGGGACGCCACTTAAGCAGGGCCTACAAAACTGACTGAAGATACACAAGACCTTGCAACCCCATCACACATCATGTTTTATTAGTCTAGGCCAACAACATGATGAACCCATCGGCGCGGCGATGGCAGGCAAACATTGTTGGTTAGTTCAGTTGCACGGTCCAGCCCATGGGGTCCTCCACCTGGCCCATCTGGAGGCTTGTTAGCGAGGTGTACAGTTGCCGAGACACCGCGCCGACTCCTTGCTTGCCAGCATACTCTATCCTGCAAAGCACAAGCCAGTGAATGGGCATCAGATCTCGTGTGCTACCGTGGAGGAATGAATATCCGAGTTCGTTCGAGAGACAAGTTGGATTTTGATCTAAGGATGCACACGTTTCAGCTAGGAGCTCAGCTCTCAAGGAACAAACAGAGGTAGTTTTACCTTTTCCCTTGATATGTAATGCTACCTACGGGAGACACTACGACGGCGGTCCCTGTGCAGAACACTTCGTCGGCATCGAGCAACTCATCCACCGACACAAGCCGCTCCTCGACCTTCCAAAAACCAAATACATGCAAAAATGTTAAACAGAATTTGACAACATGCTTTCAGATATTTTCAGTAGCAGTTTCAGAACAGTATTTTGCTTCTTCTACTTGGATCCACGCCGCTAGGAGAAATGAACTATATTTTCACAAATGTATTATTCGTACAAGAAAAATGTCCGCTGTTAATATTCATTCATAACGGAAGGTGAAGAATTGAGGAATACGATTAAAAAAACATGGATGTTCCTAACGAGGGCGGATTTTTGGCTCCTAAACCCCAGTGATCATTTATTTTGAAATTTTCACAAAGTGCATTTACAAGCTAAAAATAGTATCTCCACATATAGATGTTAAAACGTACCGTGGATTTATGAATCTTAAGGAGAAATGCACTGCACAAAAAGATAAATATGGTGATCTAAAATAGCAAATAGCAGCGCTACCCGTTTGCTTCTTCGTGCATCGCACAAATAGATGTTTTTTTCACGATTTTTGTAGATTCATAGTGAATCCTCCTCCAATATACAGCTGGTTTTATTGGAATAATTTAAAACTTGCAAAGGCACTTTAAAAATTATAAACAAAGGGATCCTGGAGATTGGGATAGAAAAGCAATTACCAGTTTACCACTACCTAGCACACTTAAATATGCTCACTATTCATCACACAATGCTATAGTTAACTGCCAATCACAGGAAACTATCTAGACAAACTGATCGGCAACATAACGATCTCGACTTTCGATTCATAGGATTAACAAATAATACCTGGAAGCCTTTGCTCAGAGCAACATCAATTATACTTTTCCTTGTGATGCCCGGCAATATTGTTCCTTTTATTGCTGGAGTTGAAATAACATTGCCCTGGTCCAAATAGCAAGAAAAGAAACATGATCAAAGCTACAAACGACATGCATAAAATAGACATGAATTGTGCTAAAATAACTGTTTGTAATTAGTCTCATCATTCTGATGATGGCATTGTTCTGCAACATTTATAAGAAACCAAGGTGATAGGTAGAGAACCATGCCAAACATAACAGGCGTAGATCAGTCAGATGGTGCTATATCTTAAGGAACAGTCATGATGCTGCTATATTACTAGGATATCCAAATCGTTATCTATGAAATAATGCTGATCTGTTGACGGATTCCACAAAGTAATCTGTTCAAAGGTATGAAATTTATTCCTTTATCAGCTAACATTCCGTAAGTGGAAGGGCCGTGCTAATGGATGTTGCTATCAACCACGTGCTCATAAAAACCATAATGTTTTGGTTTCCATAGCTGATATGGCAGGCACATGTGCTTAGAGCCAAAAGTATTTTGAAATCAAGATATCTACTCCAGTTTAATAATTCCGCATATAATTTAGTTTTCACCTTTTTTCCTTTTACGTACAAAAGACAAATGTGCCCTTTAAGCAAAATATGTTAAAGTTCGAGTGAAGATGGTACTAGGATATCCAGACATCTAACCACAGTAGTAGCTTTCAGAATTAAGCAGTGTTACCTGAACTGATTGAAGATTATTTTTATCCAAAATAGCAAGCATGTCTGACAGTGACAGCGATGTCTTACCTTCACAACAAAAATATTACATGAAGATACTTCTTCAAGATACTTTTTCTCAACAGCATCCAAGTAGAGAACATCAGAATAACCTTTCTCCTTTGCAATCTTCTGTGCCATCAAGACCTATGCAACATAAAGGACACATACTGATAATGAAGAAGCCATGAATACACAAGTTCAACACAATTAGCAGAACCTTTTAGCAGAGAAGATAGCATAAGATGTTTACGATTACGGATTTCAGCTAGTGAATAGACTGGCCATTCCAGCCTTATAACCCATCGCATCTATATTCTATAGGCTTTGACCACAATTTAAACAACCGGAAGATAGTTGACTTGAGGATAAATGAGCATTCACAATCATAACAAATAGGCTTTCCAATTACAATATGTATTCAATCCATCAACATTTTTTCTAAAAGCTAAGTAGAAAATGTTGTATTTGAAGTCCCAGCAGAAGAATTCAATGTGTGTGTGAATTCTACTACAAAATAATAACTGTAGAAGTGACTACGAGAGATTTAAAGGTTAAAGATGCACGGTATAATTATCTATGTTACAGTATTCCACTTTGAAAAATATCTCCAATGACCTTATTCCATTTTAACTTTTCAAGTGTATGCTATGCTTAAGCTTTGTCATATCAGATTTAACAGCAATAAAATAATTGCACTGATGGCATAGCCTATTCAATCAGAACATGATATTGTTCTTTTGTATTTTGAACTTTAAACACTGAAAGCCCCAAATCATCAAATAAAAATAGAAATAAAAACAAATCAAGACGTCAGAAACATAAATATCAGAAATTCAAGATGCAAAGTCAAATTCCTGTAGGTACAAACTTGCATCGCAAAGTTGTTGTCGATTCAAGCCAACAAATCATAAACAATGGACCTAAAGTTAACAGCATAATTACCGAGGCATAATTCCCAATGGTCTTAACACCTCCAGTTCCACCAGGGGTGGCCCGATGAAACTTGTCTTCAACTATCAAATTTATTGGCGCTAATCCTTCCTGCAGATATCACTGAAAAAATTGAATGGGCACTGAAAAAACTAAACGGGAACAATCGTACATAAATGAGTTGGAATTCCACATCTGATTCATGATTAGTGTATCATCAATCAAAAAGGCAAAAACAGTACTACAAATAAATGTAATTATAGTCGCTACATAATTTCTAGTCTGAAATATGTTGCCATGCAAAGTGGAAAGTACAACAATGTATATAGCCCAATTATTATTTTTATTTGGGGAAAAATATCTCATGAAAGTAGTGGACAAAGAAGTTCAAGCTTTTGATGCAAACCTTGAAGTAGTTCCCAACAGGGGAGGCAAAAATAAGGAATGTGTACTCAGGAGCAGGTGCGAGACCAAGAACAGCCCCACTTCCCACGAGTAGAGGCCTAATGTACAAAGAACCTTTACCGGTAGGAGGCACCTGGATGCATAAGATATTTGGCAAATGATCAAATCGCCCACATAAACAATGACATGGCACTATGGCAATGACCCAACATTTTAGATAGATGACTGACCCATCTCTTGTTTGCTAAAACGGTTTGTTTTACTGCATCCACAAATTGCTCGACAGGAGGTGCAGGCATGCACATCCTCTCGGCACCAGTTTGCATCCTCATTGCATTTTCCATTGGGCGAAACAACAGGATGGAGCCATCAGTTTTTCTATACGCCTTTAGGCCTTCGAACAACCCCTACAAATCATAACCAATACAATTTCAGAACAAGAAGATTTAGGCCTTCAGAACATTACTACAGTCTGCCAGAGACACGAATAAAGGAGTTTCTACCTCCCATACAAACCTGTCCATAATTCAGGACTCCGGATGCTGGGTTCATTTCTATTGGCCCAAACGGCACCATTCCACCCTTGTCAAAGTTCCCATCTGGCCCACATTTTGTAGTATACATATAGTCAGTTTGCACGAGTCCAAAACCAAGGTTCTCCCAATCCAAATCAGCAAACTCTGATGTCTGCCTGCCAAGCCACGAGATTCCCATCAGAACTATTTTGACACGACCAACACATTGCCACAGACAATCTAGCAGATTAGCACAAGCAAATTGGCGTGCGCTGCATGGCAGTGGTACAGTCTAACAAGGCATGCGATGCAGTTCACAGTGGAAATCACATACGTGTAGTTACTTGCTAGAGAAGCCTCGCATCTTCCCATGCCTCGGGCCTTTCGGAGCCGAAGCAGTGACATCGAATAAAGTCGATTCCGAATCTGCATCAACGACAATAAAGTACCACACATTAGATTATTCAATTCAATACACATCAACACAAGAAACAACGACGGTTCCTTGCATTTTCCAATGTTCAACTTTCAGAAATCCTTTCCAAAGAGAAAAAAAAAGGTTTTTAATCCCAACTTTCCCATCAAATCGCACATCAGCACATGCTGATTAGCTCTGCTCTCTAAGAATCTTACAACAGAAGGCCGTATCGGCCCGTGCAGGAGAACGCCGGCGAGATCTGAACAAGGACCTGAATGGACAGCGTCGACGGCGGCGGCGAGAAGAGCAGCAGCCGGGGCCGCTGGCTGGGGAGCGGCGCGGCGGCGAGCAAGGCGCCGAGCGAGGCCGTGCCGCAATCCATGTTGTATGACACTCGCTAATGGAGCTCACGCTCGCTCGCGGCGGTCTAGGGTTTCGCGGCGGCGGCGGCGGCGGACGGGCGGGGATAGGTTTGTAGAGGAGGAACCGAGCAAGGGAGACGACGACGAGTGCTAGATCGGACGCGGTGGTGGCTCGTTGCGCGCACGCAGAACCTCCGTCAGATCCATGCCACGGAAGCAGACATTTGGGTCCCACCGCCATTTTGTCCACATGTCAGTGACTCCGTTCTTTGCTGCCTTCTCGTGTTCAGCTGGATAACCAAACCAAAACAGGGGCGCCACGTATTGCGGCAGTTGGAAAAGTTTTATCCACACTAGTAGAACGTCCGTGCATTGCTACGGGCTTTTAATTCATTTATTTTCGATTACACCTAGTTAAATGGTCATCGTTACTACGGGCAACAAAACCTCTTACCAAAACTAAAGCTTAGCATGAGATACTTGTCACAGTATGTTTTATGTGTACATGTACAATTCATACATATATCTATGCATCATTGGTGTATTCACCTTTTTGACCTCATCTCCAATGAGCATCTCATCATCGTTCTTGTCACGCCTGCTAATGTCACACTCCCAAAGAATTTTTTTTTCAGTAGGTTCAATTGATTTAATCCAAAACGGAGATGCGAACATAACTTAGCCCAACAATGTGGAGTCAAAGACTTTCCCACAAAAAAAGCTACAAGTAAGATCTGGCCAATCGTCTCCATCAAAAACTCCTTGAGCTGATACTTGTTATTGCCTTCCTCCGGCATTATGTTCCTCTTCCTCACATGTACCGAGTTCTCCATGCCTTGGATTAAAAGACATGTCCATTAGTCCACATGCCATGAGTCGTTTAGTCTATCAATGAAAGTATTGCTTCTTTTGGTCTAACAAGGTATGGGCATTAATTATTAAGATCCAGATTAGCAGCTAGGAATAGGGGTGCTCATAATGCACTTGATTTTGGGCCGGTATCTTGCCAACTCTTTGGCAAATAGGAACATATCATGGTATATGAAAAGACAGTCACAAGGAATATGTGTCCTTTATATGGGAATAAAGAGGTATTCTGCACTGTTCAGTAGTCTCGTCCTTCAATTTTTTTTAAACATCAGTACAAACACAAGCGCTCATATACACGCGCACACACTTACCCCTATGAACGCACACACGCACACCCTACCCCTATGAGCACCTCCGAAAGATTGAGTCGGCATATCATTTTGAAATTTACGAAGTCCGTAGGCACCTCGTCGTCGACAGGAACGTCTCCTCCCACTGAATGCGCATAACCGGAAATCTTGAAATAAATCCAGAAATAAATGCGAGCACCAGGATTTGAACCCTAATGGGCTCCTCTAACCATCCACCCACAGGTTGGTTCGTAGTCTCATCCTTGAATTGTTTTGCTATAATTACTCAAGTTTTGTGCTCCTGAGGTAACATAGAACCGGCAAATCCAAAAGGAAGTGTGTGTGTCATGTCTCATGTGTGTGTTTCTGGGTGGATGTCTGTCTGTGATAAACTTTACATTAAGACAAAAAAATAGCTTTGAATATCACTATAATTATATATAACAGTGGTAGTCTCGTCCACTGTCCACTTCTCCAATGTTCAGATTCAAGTTCCATAATTTGTCTTGCCATCTGGGAAAATTTGCTCATCTACCCACCCTTACTACTTGTGACAGATTAAATGATCAAATAACCCTGTTATGTTAAAAAATAGATACTTCACGGTCTAGACTAATTAGAAATTGAAATGTACTGAATGTGTGATCTATTGCAAGTTTAATGAGATTATGATGTTGTTGCAAGGCACACAAAATGAATAGTTGCTTGTTGTATACAACAAAAGTGGCATCATATAAAACCAGATGGGTGTTGATCATCATGCTGGGCCATACAAAAGAAGTTTGCTTACTCGAGGAAATATCACATGTCCAAATTGCCCTGGTTCCCTAGATGTATAAACTGTCACCCTACGAACAAACATGACCTATCAGAGTAGACCACAAGATGCAATAATAACAAGATTGAACACGCAAGCACAACGGGGGAAAAAACAATGGCGAAACCATATGAAGGTCATTATGCAGTTGGCTTAAGTTACACCATTAAGCAAATAACTACCCACACCAGTAGAAGCTCCAAAACCTATAGAACCATATCATGTAATATTCCATTGAAAACAAGCATGACACACATGCTAAATGCTCGTAAACATTACTACGGAACTTTCCCCAGAATAACTTTGCTTGTCAACCATGAATCCACTTAACTTCTTGTTTTCTCAACAATATCTCTATATTTTTAATTCTTGTAAACCGAACACAACAAAATATACCACTCTGATTATCTACAAGAAATTACCTAATTTCATGCTGGAACTATAATTTAGTTATAACATCCTCATTGCTTAAATCTGAAAACAGATTTCAGTCATTACTAACTAAATGTTAGGCATAAACTTGTTTTGCCTGAAACTCTTACACTCTGGACGGCAATAATGCAAAAAAGAAACCATTGGTCTTTTTGTATCAACTCAAAAATATGCATGGTTCTGTACCAATTTTAAATAGACTGATTATGTCCAGTTCAATAACAGGAAACAATTGCGAGTTCCTAGTTTGGTGTATGGACGGAGAGGTGACCCTGAAACATCAAAAACGAGTTTGGGATGAACTTGCCAATTTTTGGGCCCAGTCTCTTCCGCTATGATATTTTTCTCCTTTAATTTTTCTTCCCTGCTCCCAGTCGTCCGATGCGGCGACATAGCGGCAGAAACTACCCACCTTACCCTGATGCTGAGCAACATGCATGGACTGCTACTTTCCTCTATCTCTGCGGTGGTTGCCTCTCTCCCAATTGGCTTGGCCGCAGGCACACAACACAATAGCCCATGCACAGCCACCCGTCCTGATCGTGTGCTACTTTCTCTTCTTCCTTCCTAGCCTCTCCTTCTCCATTGGTTGCTCCCTGCCACTGCTTTCGCAAGCAATAGTAGCCCTCGAGCCACAGACGCATCTTCCTCTCTCACATTATTCCTCCTCTCTCACGGAAAAAAAATTATGTGCCCGGTTCGTATGTTCCACCCGTGAGACCCTCGTCGATTCACGACACATGTTAATTTCAATCTCAATGCCCCATTCCCAATTACCAGCCAGCATCCTTCCTTTGTTTGACAACCGGCTATTCCTTTTCTATGAATTGGCGACAAACCGGCTTTTCCGTTCCTAATTGCACATCTAAAGGAGAGAAACAAACAAACCAGTCTAGAGCCGACGGGGGTCATGCGGCACGATGGCACGATCTCTCACCTACGGCGGCCATGCAACGCTGACTCCGTGTCCTCGCAGGAGATGTGGAGCTGCTCCGTCACGCCGTGTAGCCAGTTGTGGCGATGAACTAAATGAGCTATATTGTTCAGGCCGAGAGGCACAACGGCGTGTCATCCTTGCTAAGACACTTCACTGGTTTAAGAAGTCTTTCACTGACATAAAATATTGTGAATTTCCTTTGCCCATATTAATATATATGAATCAGTGCCAAGTAGAAAATGTAATTTTAGTCAGATAACCCACATGGCGATATAGTTTTCAGAAAATATACATCGTATCGGCCAAATTATATTAAAAAGTGAAATATAAAAGATTCACCTTATGCTTGGAAAGCACCTTTCCAATCATCTTTATCAGTCACCAAACACCATCATAAGTCTTGTATTTGAGTGCATTGTCAATCTTCACCAATGACTATAATGCCACATGATGCTTGATGCTTGTTCTAAAAATGCATAAATGATTTATCAGTGGAATTGATTGAACGTGCAAAAATAATAGTAATAATCATATATGAGCTTCATAATATACTTATTTATTACTACGGGGAGGTAGCACTGCAGTGTTTTTTAAGATAAATGCACAAATTTAGGAGATTAGAGCTGATTCAGTTCAACCAAGTTGCCATTTCCCAGTGGCCAGTGCTCATCTGGACAACCTGAAAAAAGAAGGAAAATTGTACAATAGAAGCTATAGAACATACACATGCTGCATGTAATTCACAGGAAGTGCTCAACAATGCAATACCAAATCAGAAGAGAAATTTCTTCAAACAAGTCGTGGACAATGTGAGTAAATATACTCCATATATCTACTGAAATCCAAATGGACGGCTTGGCTGGTGAGCTTACAGATCAGTTACAAGCTTCTGATAGAAAGTAGAAATCTAGGATTCTGAGTCTTTCTTCCATTTGCCAACGCAAGTAATCTAAAAAAATTAAAAAGAAAAAAATGCAAAAAGGAAAAGGAGGGGACCTTCTGTGTGAAAATTTGAAGGCTTATTAATGGATTGTGTGCCCAGCCACAGCCATCCATGCAGATGAGCCGCCCCAAAGTCTTCTAGACTCATACGATCTATGGTCATGCCATCATGATTAGAACATGGATGCATCCAAGGAAACGCCAGCCTGTGAGCCTACTAACCCCCGCCGATCCGGCTGAATCAGCGCCGTGATCGTACCAAGGAGGCGCCACTCCTTGCAGGGAAGGCCATGCCGATGCCATGGTGGGTACGGCCGCGCCTGACGCCACCGAGATAAGTAGCGAGCGGCTGCCTCAAAGAGGGGGGCGAGGGCGACAAGCTTGGAGGGAAGTGAGGGGCAAGGCATGACCACCAATATCTGTAGATGGACAACTAAGCTACAAAAATGAGTATATGAAAGGAGATTAGCAATTGTTTTCTCGCTCCACTCGTAAACATAACAAGCATTTTTTCTTCAAAGTAGGTCTTACCCTATTTTTGTAAAAGAAAGGCCAGGCACCTTCATGTCTAATAAAACGTTCTATAACAAATCAATGGAACCAATCAGGCTTCTCTTAATATGCTGATATGCATGGTACTAAATTCCAAACTGGAACTACAACTGACTTCAATATATGCAAGTTCGACAGTGAAAATAGTACTAAGCTTAGCAACGGCCTGCCCAATACCTACTTTCTACCCAGATGCGCAATTGCAAGGTTCAGCTGATTAAGATGCTCGAGTTTATCTGCAATGGTAGAGCATTATCTTTCTAATTCAAATTCAAAGCTAACAATCACAACAGAATATAACTATCACTATGGCAACTATTACGAAGATGAATCCCTCCTTTCTCAAAGTCGATACGCAAGTTATTTGCTGCCTTCCCATATTCCTCTGGTAGGCAGGGCAC